CCCCCCCCCTCCCCCCCATGTCTGGTCCCCCCCCCCCCCGGCAAGTCGCGCCCGAATCGCAGCACGGCACCATTCTCGTCCAGTCCTTGGAGGGCCAAGCCTACCTTGAAGTCGGGCCTGTCCCTCGACAGGAGGACTATTCAAAAGTAGTCCAAACATAGTCTCGGGACTTTTTTTCAGCATGTGTTTGAGTATTTTTTGTATGTTTGTGTATTTTTGTATGTTTAAGCATTTTTCGCCCCAAATCCCCTCGCAGGGGGACATGCCCGACCTAACACCATTCCCGTCCCATCCTTGGTGGAGGGCCAAGTCTACCTGCTTCCAGAAGGCCAACATCTGTGGCCGATGCCAAGTGCCGCTCTCACGTCCTAGCCCAAAGCGTCCATGGACACATTGGGTGCCGTGACGTCCATCGACACTTTCGGGGTGTGGATGCGTCTATGGACAGCGTGGCCGTTGCGTTCGGCGCGGTGCAGGGTCGGAGAACGGGCAGATCCGTCTACGGGCATGTCCAAGTTCTGGAGCAGGTCCCACATGGTATCCCAATCTCGTCCCTGTATGCTCCTGCTCCAGAGCAGGTCCCGCATGGTACTCCCATCCCGTCCCTCCCTCCTCGCCGCCCCACCTTGGAGTGCACGCAATACACACCACAAACCGCCTACCTTTAAATCCACTTCGCAGAAGATGCCGGCGGCGCGGTGGCTGCTGGCGCTGTGCGCGCCACTGGCCGCCGAGGGTATCGCCCTCGCCTCGGGGAACCTCGGCGCCCAGCGCGCGGCCGCCAAGGCCAAGGCCAAGACCGTGTCGGCGCAGGCCCTCGCAGTCGTCGCCGCCGTCGCCGTCGTCGCCGTCGCCCTTCGCCGCCGTCGTCCTCGTCGCCGACGCCGTCGCCGTTCGACGTTCGTCGTCGTCGGTGCCGTTCGTCGTCGCCGTTCGCCGTCGTCGTCGTCGTCGTCGTCGTCGTCGTCGTCGTCGTCGTCGCCGTTCGACGTTCGTCGTCGTCGGTGCCGTTCGTCGTCGCCGTTCGCCGTCGTCGTCGTCGTCGTCGTCGTCGTCGTCGTTGTCGTCGTCGAAGCCGCTGTTTCTCGCCGTCGTCGTCGCCGTTCGCCGTCGTCGTCGTCGTCGCCGCTGCCGCCGCCGCCGCCGCCGCCGCCGCCCGCCGCCGCCGCCGCCGCCGCCGCCGTCGTCGTCGTCGTCGTCGTCGTCGTCGTCGTCGTCGTCGTCGTCGTCGTCGTCGTCGTCGTCGTCAGCGCAGGCCCTGCGGTACTTCCAGGCGCTCAACGCCTCGTCGTCCAGGAGGCCCGTGCTGGTGCCGCCCGGCGATGTGCGGGCGCGCGCGGAGGCGCCCAAGCCGGGCGCCCGCCACGTCAGCCTCCTGGAGGTGGTCGGAATCAAGAAAAGGGGACCCGAGGGGAAGGTCGGTCTGTGTCAACTGGCCCCCTCACCGATCCTGGCTTAGCCCATCTCGGACCCCAGAGCGGTGTCTCCCCCTCCATGGCCGAGCCAGGAGGGTCTGGACAGATGCTGGGCCCGGGATGGGGTCAGCCAGTGTCGGTGAGGTGGTCAGTTGACGTCGCCCGAAAATGGGTCTCACGGTTCTTCGTTGTTGCCTGAGGGAAAAACGGTCCCTCTTCTCCTCCTCCTCCTCCTCCTCCTCCTCCTCCTCCTCCGCGTCTCTGCATCATAATGACGGTCGGCTCTCTCTCTCTCTCTGTCCCTCTCTCTCTCTATCGCTCGTTCTATATATATATATAATTATTTATATATAGATACACATCTCTCTCTATCTTTTTCCTTTCTTTCTTTCTTTCTTTCTCTCTCTCTCTCTTTCTCTTTCTGTCTACAAGGGGCTAACCGCTCCCATCCCCGGACCCAGGGGTAACTCACCGTGACATCAGACGGCAGGGAGCTTGCCCCACCAAGCCACCGCGGGCCACAAGCGGCAAGTGACTCGCTGACCCAACACGCAGTGGAGGCCAGAGCAAGATGGGTCGACCACCTCGCCTGCATCACCCCTCATGGCTTCCAGACCTCTGCGACACTGACAGAGGCAAGCGCATGTGGCTCACATACTGCGTCGAGGAGGTCCTCCGCGCTCTCCAAACGGCGGCCTTCGTAGGACTCTACGTGGACTTACCACCCTGGGATGCGCTCGACCTCCAGAGGCGCCACGCACAAGAAATCAGGGAATAAGCCTGGGATCGAGGCGACCGAGGACGCCGCGACCGTCACCAACACATCGCCGCGCTCTCGGGCCACGCCCTAAACCATGCTATCCAGCAGGTGAACGACGCACGCCGCGACGCTGTGGACGATCACTTGGACCGTCTCGACCCCCCACCAGGCTACAAAGGACGCCTTCAACCCACGGGTTTCCCAGCAGCCCGCGGCCGCGCCTTTCCCGACAGAACACGATGCACCGCACCCAGAAACGGCACCCTCGTGTAGCCCCGCTCCGCAACAGCGGGGCGAACGCGCGGCCATGTTCTCTTTCGACGGACGCCACTGGTTCAGGCACGCCGACCCCTTTGTCAGCGACGACGGGTCACATGATTCTGACCACTCCAGTCCGGGGCACCCCCTGGACCCACCACTTGGCACTGCCGCGGTACCCCCCCCAGGCGACGGCCTGGCGGGAACGGCGCAGCACGGCCCACCGTCCTAGCGTCGCAGACGCCGTGTGGCTGGCGCAGCCTCCGCGGGGGACCCTTACAGTGACGCCCCCATGAGCAACGCCAGCAACTCTTCCACGAGTAACGGGGTCAACCGCCCTCCGTCGACCCCAGGGCCACACTCCCCTGGCCAAGTCCACTACGGTGAAACAACAGAGACGATACCACCTGTGCTGGGGAAACAAGCAGTGGCAGAAAAAAAACAACTCGGAGGTCTGCGCTGATTTTTCGGATCGGCGCTGGATCCCCGCCCTGGCGCGCGGAGCGCGCCAGGGGCGGCGCTGGAGGCGCCGCCAACGGGGCCCCAGTGCCGATCCGAGGAATCCGCGCGGACCTCCGAGTTTGTATATGTTTGTGCCATTGTTTGTCCCCCCTACAGTCGGGCCGCTGAATAAGGAACCCTTCTCGTTGGGGAGGGGTTCAGTGCTCCTTGATTGTGTTGTTTTTGTTCTAGGTGTTCCTTCGGTTATCCATCGGCAATCGAAGTTCAACTTGTGGAACAATGGGGCCTCGTTCCTTATTTAGGGTTTCTCGTGGCAGCAGTTCGACTGTGGGTGAAAACCATCAACACCCCTAACCAGCAGAATGCTCCGCATCGGGCGTGGCGCGGATTGCTGCGCGGGCTGCGCTCTCTCGATGGGGCAGCATGGCGGGGCGCGACCTGCGAAGCTCGGTGGCCCAGCTCCTCCTGCTCCTCCTCCTCCTCCTCCTGCTCTTCCTCCTCCTCCTCCTGCTCCGCCTCATCCTCCTCCTCCTCCCCCTCCTCCTCCTCCTCCTCCTCCTCCTCCTCCTCCTCCTCCTCCTCCGCCTCTCCCTCCTCCTCCTCCTCCTCCTCTGCCTCCGCCTCCTCCTCCTCCTCCTCCTGTGCACCTGTCCTGGCCATGGGCTCCTCCGGGGCCCAGGGGCAGCGTGGCCTGCAGCCTGCCCGGCCGGGCCACGAGGGCGCCTGTGCACCGATCCTGGGCCTGGGCGGGGCCCGCCCGGGACCCGACGCAGGAGCAACCCTCGGGGCTCTTACGTTGCATCTTCGGGGGACCTCGCCTGTCCCCAAAATTGGTGTCTTTTTTCTCGCGCCCGACGCAGGCACGATGCGGGCTCGGCGCGGACCTGGTGCAGGTTCGACGCGGATTCGACACGGATTCGACACGGGTCCGACGAGTCCGACATGGATTCGGCACGGATTCGACGCGGATCGGGTCGCGACGGGACAGACAAGGTCCCCCGAGGATGCAACATAAGGGCTCAAGTCGACTAGACGTAAGAGTGACCTTTCGCCGGAGTGACCTGTGGTGCGGGCACAGCTGGGTCCCCAGGTGGCTGAACACGGAGCAGAGCAGGAGCGGCGGCTTGCGCGCCCAGGTTTGGTCTCCCCGTGGCCCCCCAACAAGCCGCGCACCAGAGGTCACTCTTACCCAGGGTCACTCTTGCGTGTAGCCGAGGGTCAGCCAGGGCACCGGATCCTGCAGGATCCTGCGAAGAGCCCCTCTGGCTGACCCAGGTTAGCGAGCCGCTCGTGGCCGCGAGGCGGCCGCGCCTATTGGCTGACCCGGGTTCGTGAAAACCTGCGTTGCAGTTTTTTTTGTTGTTGTTCCTGCGTTGCAGTTTTTTTTGGGTTTCCTGCTGACCCGGGTCTGGATTTGGGGTCAGAAGATCCCCGAAACACACGCACCCATGCTCGGCGGCGAGCGACGGGGGAAGTTCCGGGGCCGAGTTCTCGCGGTTCTGGGGCGTTTGCGCCAGTTCTCGGCGGTGTGCCACCCTTGGGATGCTTGCCAGCAGCCGCGCCCCGCCGCGGGCGTTCCGGGGGTGCCTGCATCGAGATCCGAGGTATGACCCAAGAACTACATTCAGCGGTGCGCCTGGGGGAAACGAGAAGGGGCGGTGGCCTTCTCAGAAGACTCAGAAGTCCTCGGCCTTCCGGGAAGCTTCTTAAGCCCTCCCCGAAGACGCGACAAGCTTCTCAGAAGGCCCGCTGAGAAGTCATGCTGTCCTCTGAGAAGGCCTACTCCTTTTCACTTCTCCCCTTCGCTCGCCGCCGACGTGCCCATAGGGGGGTCGGCGGGTGGAGGAGGACTGGTCATGGGTATGGGTGCGGGTTCTCGGACCCCGGGGGAGGCCCCCGTTCGAGCGGGGACCCCCAGCCGACAGCGCGCACCCATGGCCCCCTCCGTGCCCCCTGAGGGTATGGGCGTGTGCTGCTCGTTCGTCAGGACCGGTGCATCGTGCACAGTTCGGTTTCTCCTGCCAGCTTCCCTCGGGAGCCCTCCCCAGACGTGCGAGGTCTTGATTCTCTCACTCAGTTTTGGGTCCCCGGAAGTCTCGACCCTC